TTTTTTATTCATACATCTAGGGAACCCCTTTTATGGGGCAAAAATCCCCCCGACTCTCGAAGCAGAAAATGCCAGACACTCATCGTCCCAGCTTCCCTGGCAGCCGCAGGGCACACACACAGAGATCTAATGCCAGTTCGCTGTACCCTCCCGGGCCTCGGTGGGGAAGCTAGTGACTGAGGGTCGGAAGGGCCGTGTGGACCCTTCCAGCCCCAAGTACAGCCACATCCGCTTTCCAGAGCCGGCTTCAGGAGCAGAGCCGCCTGCAGGGAACAGGTAACGCCATGTGACTTCCGAGGCAAGATCATTCAAATGCCGGGGACTTGTACTGTGCTCTCCTGGGCGCTAGCCCGAGCCAGCTTGCACAGAGCGACCAGATGAAGAGACCATGTGTAGGAGTTCTGGCTGACAGCCAGTCTCAGCTGTTAGACCTTATGTGAGCAAGGAAGCTTCCAGATGATTCCAGATGACTGGGCTGCCAAGTCGTCCAGCCTTCCAGTCGTCCTGGCTGAGGAGCAGAGACTACTTGCCTCTCTCTGCCTTGTCTGAGTTCCTGACTCCCAGGACCCAGGACACGTACCAAAGTGATCACTTTCTGTCACTAAGTTTGATGGGGTTGGTTTTGCAACAACCAGCACAGAAGGGAACTTGCAGAGGCCAGGGGCAGATAAGGTAACAACTGCCCCCAAAGTAGGCACAACAGAACCTCGACCCTCCTGGGCCTGAAGGAGGAAAATCTATCCATCTATCTGCCTGTCTATCTATTTATCTATCTAGTAGGCTCCATGCCCAACGTGGGGCTTGAACTCATCACCCTGAGATTAAGAGCCCCATGCTCTACCAACCGAGCCAGCCAGGCACCCCGGGAAGAAAATCTTATTAGTAGAGCCCAGTGGGGTGGGGGAGGGGCCTCCCTGTAGGAACAGTTGTCCTGAGGCACCCAGATGAGTCCCCCTCTGAGCTCCCGCTGGGGGTACAGCCTTCGGGGCCAGCCCCTGAGACACAGAGCAGGACCAGAAAGGATGGCGGATGAATCCGGGGGCGGGGTGGGGACCCGAGGGGGGACACCTGCCGGGTGTGGAGTTGAGAAGTGTGACCCATGTGAAATCCCCCACGGAGGACTGAGATGCCGGATGGCAGGTGCCCCCCCAGCAGGGCTGTACCAGTGCATGAGGACCTGCATTTATGGACACTCCGTGGAAAAAACCCGTGGGGCGCAGAGCTCAGCGACAACCCCTTTGTGCCCCTCTTTGCTCTCAGAGCCTGGGCACAGCCCTCGCCAGGGGAATTGTCAAGCCGCAGCCTCCAGACAGGAGGCTGGAGGGCTTTCTGGCTGCTCTGATGGCGGCTGAGCCCACACATCTTGGAAGGAGGTGCACGGAATACTAAAAAATTTAAGTGCTGCAATCAGGGCCTAAAGTAACAGAGCTGGAATTATTGAGGGAAATTTACAAGTTAAATCACCTAAAAGGCTGCACATGCAAATGACGCTAAATTAGCAAGAACTTGGGGGGCACGAGAATGACTCATCCTTTCTCAAAAGGAAAGTGGTCAGAGAGCACATCACAAACCGGGAAGGACGGGGACTGAGACCATCGTTCCCCAGGCGGCGTCCACACTACAGGGTGCTTCGCACGCGGCGCCCCAAACGCCAGAAGCTCCCCAGTTCTCGTGGCGCCCCAAAATATCCTGTGCGCGTGAGCGTGCCCCTGGGACCTGCGATTGGGAAGCATGAAGAACCCGTTTCGCAGGTGGGAGCCTGAGTGGTGGCAGCTCTCGCCGCGGCTACGTGACAGAACTGGATGGACCCGCCAGCTTCCCAGGCCCTGCGCCAGACGCCCTCTTCGGCTAGCTGCAGCTCCACGGGCCGGCGGTTTGTGTCGGGGCCTCAGCCGAGCCGGTCCCTCGGTACCTCTCCTGATGCCCTTGTGCGGGAGGGCCCAATGGTGTCCGGAGGCCGGCCGAGGGCCTCAGTCCCACGAGCAAGGGGTCCGAGACCCCGGTCTTGCTGACATCACCACCACCCTCTGATGGTCAGGCTGGGAAACAGCCATGGCAGGCGGCAGACAGACAGATAGACTGGCCTGGCAGGCAGGAGGCAGAAACCAGCGGATGCTTTGGGCAACGCATTAGTTTCCTGGGGCCACCTTTTTTTTTTTTTTTTTTAATGCTCATTCATTTTTGAGACAGAGACAGAGCATGAGTGCGGGAGGGGCAGAGAGAGAGGGAGACACAGAATCCGAAGCAGGCTCCAGGCTCCCAAGCGGTCAGCACAGAGCCCAACGCGGGGCTCGAACCCACGAACCGTGAGCTCACGACCTGAGCTGAAGTTGGATGCTTAACCAACTGAGCCACCCAGGTGCCCCACTAAACGTGGACCACGAACCTAGGTAGCCTAAACAGCAGAGATCTATTGTCTCCTGCTTCTGGAGGCCAGAAGTCTGAGCTCCAGGCATCAGCACAGCCGTGCTCCCTCGAAAGCTGCTAGGGGAGGATGTGTTCCAGGGCTGTGTCCCGGCATCTAGTCGTCCCTGGGCTCGGGGCCTCAAATTCATGTCTTCAATGTGGCGTTCTCCCTGTGTGTCTGTCTTTCCCCCTTTCTATTACGGCACCCGCCATTGGATTGGAGCTCACCCTAATGACCTCATCCCAACTTAATCATCTGCAGAAACCTTTTTCCAAATAAGGTCACACTCACAAGTCCTGGGGCTGAGGACTTCGCGGTCTTTGGGGAACACAATTCAACCTATGACAGACGTCAACTCACAAGTGTATTGGGCAAGTTCTCTGTAAAAGGCACCGTGTCGGCCACTGAAGGGACATGGCCCCAGCCCTTAAGGAGCTGCCCACCCCCCTGCCCGGAGGGTAAGCACCGCCACATCTCGCTTACCAGCAACCTCGATGCAAAACCGAGTGCCTGAGTCATTTCTCAACTGAATTCATATTTTATTTGGCTCCAGTTCCCTCTGGGGTCCGGCTGCCTGCCAATGCTGCTCTGGGGCTCTCAGGCAGGGAGGCACCCCGAGGACCTTGACCCGGGGAATATGATAGTGAATGTGCAGAGCAGTAAGGATATTGAAACACATGCAGAACGGACATCATTTTCCTTGGCGCTTATGTGAACTTAAATGCAGCTCCTAAATCCAACAGCAAACTCCGCCCTGGCCCCTCCTCCACCCCCCCACCCCCACCCCCCACCCCCGCTGGACACCCTGTGATTCCCCCAGGGCTGAACAGCTGAGTGTAGCCTTCAGATGAAAAGCTGCCTCTCCTGATGTGAGCACAGGCGGGGGTGGGAAGGAGCCCTGGATGGGGGGGGGGGGGGGTGCGGGCAGATATCTGGGTTGTAAACCCAGTTCTGTCACCAACAAGCAGCATGACCTTGGGCAAATCCTGAACCCTGTGTGGCCTCTGCTCAGTGGCTAGGAGGCTCTAAGATCCCTCCCAGTGCCAAGATTCCAACTCCAGGGAGAGGGCAGGAGGGTCGTGGAGAATCCTCCCAAGGAGACTTACAAGACGCAGGACCCACTCGCCTTCAGTTCCCAAGGGGAAATTTTACCTGCTTATCGGGCCTCAGCTGCCCAGGGCCTCTGGGCGTGATTGGGCTCAGGTTGAACACAGCGAGGGCATTGTTTTCTCTGTGGGAAGTTTCAGATAAGGAGCGGGGCTCCACTAAGCCAGATCAGGACTCGGGTCCCACCTCACCTTATCTTGAGGCTCCAGCCAGCCCGGTCTCCACCCCCCCACCCCCCCCACCCCCCGCCCAGGGGTTCATTACAAGCTCAATATTTCCCTCCCGTGGAACATCTAGCCCTCCTCTCTGCCCACCCATCCCTTACAAACCAACTCAAGTTCCACCTCTTCCATGAAGCCTTCTCGGATACAACTCTATGTGGCAAATCAGTATCAGTTCTTCATTTCAGTCATAGAACATGTCGCCTGGATCGTATATTGAGGTCCAAATAATTTCTATGTCGCATTTTTTTTTCAACGTTTAATTATTTTTGGGACAGAGAGAGACAGAGCATGAACGGGGGAGGAGCAGAGAGAGAGGGAGACACAGAATCGGAAACAGGCTCCAGGCTCTGAGCCATCAGCCCAGAGCCTGATGCGGGGCTCGAACTCACGGACCGCGAGATCGTGACCTGGCTGAAGTCGGAGGCTTAACCGACTGCGCCACCCAGGCGCCCCTCTATGTCGCATTTAAATGCAGCTTCAAATATGCAAACCAAGAGATGTCACCAGCACATTGCCTTGCATTGAGTCTCTTGTCATGCGTCACACTGAGTGGTCCCTAGGACTTTTCAATCTGTAGACTTACGATACTCAGTTCTGGAAAAATTTTGTGTATTTTTACAAATTAGGAAGGAAGTTAACCTTCCTATTACGTTCTTTGTTCCTTCCAAAACTTCAATTTGAACATCCTGGATTTGTTTTCTCTCTCTCTCTCCCTTTTTTTTCTCTCTGAAATTCCCAGAACTGGAGGTCATGAAATACATATTGAAAGGATACTTCAAATCCCTGTACATTGTCAAAGTAGATCCACTCCAAAGCACATCATCATGAATTTTCAGGATACTGACGATAAAGAGAAGACTCTAAAAACTTTCAGAAAGGGGGCAACATTTAATAAGACGGATCACGGATCAGAATGGCCTCAGACTTCTCATTAATAACACTAGATGGTAGCAGTGCCTTCAAAACTCTGAGGGACAGCGGTTCCCAAGCAACAGTTATATACCCAGTGAAGCCGCTAAAACATTAGGGCAAAATGGGCGTGTTTAGATACGCACGGTCTCAAGCGTTCACCCCTTAAGCATCCTTTCTCAGGAAGCTGCTGGAAGGGAGACTTGATCAAAACAGGAGAACGAAGTAAGAAAGGAGAAGGAAAGGGAGCCAAGAAATGGGCTTCCGCCCAAGAAAGAGTCCATGGAGGGCACCTCCAGGATGCCCCCGCCCCGGTGGTGGTTGGGGGGGGGGGGTTGGGCAGCAGATATCAGTCCCCCTACATGGGAGAGGCCAGAAGGCCCTGGGGAAGAGTTTTTCCCAGACGCCAAAATTAATAGGATATCTAACATATCTGAATCTACACAACTTGCAAACCGGGAAGAATTGGGGGATAAAACAGTAACGAGTACATAGAGAGCTCGGCAAAAGCAAATGCAAGGCAATCGCGAAATCCAGAGAAAACAAAAAGTTACAGCAGAAGGAAAAATTAATCATGGCTCATCCGTGAATAGTAGTTAACTGTTACCTGAAACTCCGAAAATTACTCTAACCCAGAAGAAGTCACAACTGGGAGGATGAAGGGCCAGAAAGTCTAGGGTGCCAAGGGTGAAGAGACCGGAAGTGGAAGGGTGAAGGGTGAAGGAGACAGGAAGTCTAAGGGGGTGGAAAGTGATGAGATGATGGGTGCGTGCGTGTGTGTGTGTGTGTGTGTGTGTGTGTGTGTAGGAGACCAGAAGTGGAGGGGTGAAGGGTGAAGTGTGAAGGAGACCAGAAGCGTAAGGGGGTGGAAGGTGAGAGGTGAAGGAGACCGGAAGTAAAGGGGGTGAAAGGTGTACGAAGACAGGAAGTGTCAGGGGGTGAAGAGTGAAAAATGTAGAAGAGCCAGATTGTCACGGGCTATCCTCAGTTGCAAACACCCAGAGTGGAAAAAGCTAGAAATATAAGCCTGTTCTTTGGCGATAGGGAGGTAAGTAACAAAAGAATCAGCTAGAAGAGTTGAGCGCTCCCACTGTGGAGAGCAGGAAGTAGGGAGGGGGGAAATGCTCTTGTAAGTATTTGCCTTTAAACTGTGACGTTTTGGTACAAACCACAGAGAGGGAGACCCCGAGGAGTCGACTGGATGTGCCGTGTGCGGCGGCCGGACCTACTCGCCACCCTCGGGAGGGCCCCCAGCGAGCGTGGAGGACGGAACCCCCGCAATCACCGGTCAGTCTCGTCATTCACACCCCACGACTGCTGTGGCTCGGGGAGTGGGGAGTGAGGGGCAGAGGTGGGCCCTGGGAGGCCAGGGTTGGGCTGGGGTGCCGAGGGGCCTTCCGGGGGTCAGGGCAGCACCGGGTGGGCCCGCGCGTTCCGTGCTGTGGGGTCCGGCTCCGGTTTGGAGAGCCCCCAGCGCCCGGTGCCCCCCGGGGCCCAGGGAACCTCAGAGGCTGTCGGTCCCGCGACGGCCGCCAGGTGGCGCCAGAGCCCGCGCCAGCTCGCAGCCTCCGAGCCCTGCCTCCCGGGCGCCCAGGCCAAAGCCGGCTGGGGGGGGGGGGGGGGGGGGGGGGCCCCGGGTCTCCCGGTGAGCGTCTCCCTCACCCCCACCCCCACCCCCACCTCGGCATCTCCGGGGGAGATTTTTTCCCAGCGGAAAATTTCAAATACCTGCAAAAACAGACCGAACGGTATTACGAAAAGCTGATTCCGTTTCTCTTACTCCTCCGCCCGTGTCCCCACCACCCTGTTTGTTTCTAAAAGCGAATCTCAGACATCCCATCATTTCATCTGTAAATATCTCAGCTGGCAACTCTAGCAAAAAGGACGCAAAACAGGGGCGCCTGGGTGGCGCAGTCGGTTAAGCGTCCGACTTCAGCCAGGTCACGATCTCGCGGTCCGGGAGTTCGAGCCCCGCGTCAGGCTCTGGGCTGATGGCTCGGAGCCTGGAGCCTGTTTCCGATTCTGTGTCTCCCTCTCTCTCTGCCCCTCCCCCGTTCATGCTCTGTCTCTCTCTGTCCCAAAAATAAATAAACGTTGAAAAAAAAATTTAAAAAAAAGGACGCAAAACAGATCATAGTCGCATCATTGCCACAAACATTGAACAAACGGAAGGCCTGGGTCAGGAATGCGGGGAATGGGGAAGGGGGCAGGCATCTTCAGGATCAGGTAGGGAGCCAGGAGCGCCAGACGTGACACGGGGTGGCTTGTCTGCGGGAGAGGAAGCCCCCCTCCCCGGTGCTCACCGCGGACTCCTGCAGCGCTGGGTCAGATGGACGATGTGAGGAGCAGGCTGGGGGGCCCTGGTCCTGCCCACCCCTCCCCACCCCTGGACACTCTCTTCTGCCACCAGACATTTTCAGTTCAGCTGGACAGTGAGGGGAATGTGAAGGAAAACTAGGAATGCGGATCGCCAGTCCCTTCAGGGGCTTTTCTGTCTCGTCCCATAAATTCCGTGCTTTTCTTTTCTTTTCTTTCTTTTTTTTACCTTTATTTATGTTGAGACAGAGAGCCCGCCAGCGGGGGAGGGGCAGAGAGGGAGAAAGAGAACCCCAAGCAGGCTCACGCTGGCTGCCAGCCCAGAGCCCGACGTGGGGCTTGCTTGAACCCACGAATCCTGAGATTATCATGACCTGAGCCGAAATCGAGTCGGACGCTTAGCCGACCGAGCCACCCAGGTGCCCCAATTCAGTGCTATCCTTAAGGCTTAAATCCTGGGCGCCTCTCTCTACTCAGCTGGTCCAACGTGCCTGAAGGACCGCCCAGCCCATCTCTCCTACCCCTCCTGACTCCCTCCTGGAGCTGATCCTCCCCTGGGTGACTGAAGCCGAGGACCTGGGCCTCTCTGCTCCTCCCTTGTGTCTTTTTACATCTCTGCATTTTATGGCCAGCCACTCCCAGGAGCGGGGGTGGGGGGGTAGGAGGTGTGTGAGGGGGGTGACAGCAAGCACATAAGGCCCGTTGTCAAGCCTTGAATTTCCCCTGATCTCCAGCAGAGCTGCTGCACGGAGCTCTAAGGTGGGCTGGGGGTCACGGACCCAGGCTGAGGCCTAGCTCTGCCCGACAAGCTGGCTGGCCTTGAACAGGCTCCTTCACCTTGCCCGGGTGCAGGGCGGAGACAGGGGTACCAATAGTAGTTCTGAAGCTCCGAGGGACAATCTTCAGTGCTGAACTCAGTGCACGGCCCTCGGCGACGTTCTCATTAAAGGGGCCGCTCCCCGAGCCCCTCCTCCGACTGGCCGCTCGCTCCAGGATCTTTCTGCTCATTCATTCCTCCCTCTCGACGAGCGTGTGTCGAGCACCTACTGTGTGCTAAGCACTAGGGATGCTGCGGTGAGCAAAACGGAGCTGATGCCTGCCCCCGCCCAGCGCTGGGTTTGAGAAGACACAGTCCAGCAGGGGCCACGCGGGTCGCGAGCGGGCAGTGCGGGTTGGGGGGGTGGGTGCGGCCTTCTGGAGGAGCGGGGCTTTCCCAGGTGAGATGTGCCGGCGGGTGGCCCCGAGCTGGGCTCACCTGACCTGTTCAGGCTAACCTGGGGAAGGCCCAGGCTCTCTCCTGACCCCCCCCCCGGGCCCCGCCCCCCCAGGGGAAAGGGTGTCCCTGCTGGTTCCCTGACACCGTGCCCAGCATGGACCCCTCTCTCTCCTTGGTGTCATGCTGCTTGCTCTCTTCTCCCAGCTCAGGTGGTGGAAAACGGGGCCCCGGAAGCTTGAGGAAGCTCATTGCAGCCCAGCCCCCCCGGGGAGACACTGAGTCCATCAGAATTCCCGTCTGCCACCCTCGACCGGTCATCGGTGGCCCGTCGGGCCGCGGGGCCCCCCTGCAACCGTAAGGACGCAGGGAGAAGTGGGCGAGTGCGGAGGGCCTGGCTCCCCTGGTGCTCCTCCGAGCCCACCAGCAGGACGTTCTCTTCCCCCACCCAAGGGGGCCCACTGCGCTTTGCGTAGATAAGGAAAACCGAGGCACGGGGAGGTGGGTTCGTTTCCTGCGGCTGCCGTCACGTGTCACCACAAACTTAGCAGTTTAGAAGCACAGACATATTCTCTCTCCGAGGCTGACATCAGGATGGCAGGGCCGTGCTCCCGCCGGAGGCTCCAGGGGCGAGGCTCCTCCGTGCCTCTTGTAGCTTCTGGCGGCTGCCGGCTCTCCTCGGCTCGTGGTCACGGTCACTCCAGTCTGCAAGGTCCGTCTCAGCTCCACCTTCGTGGTGCCTTCTGCCCTGGATGTGCATCAGGTCCCCACCCCCCTCCCCCACCCCGCCTCTCTCTTCTGAGGACATTTGTGATTACATTTGGGGCCGCCAGATATAACCCGGGACAGGCTCTCCATTGTCAGGATCCTTAATTTAGTCCCAACAGCAAAGGCCCTTTTCCAAATAAGGTAACATTTGCAGTTCACACTCGTTAGGACCTGGTGTTCTTTGGGAGCCTCTGTCAGTCCCCGATGGGGAGTCCGTAACTTGCTCAATGTCACACAGCGGATTAAGTGGCGAAGCTAAACCCCAGTCTGCCAGCCAGACTGAAAACCCCCTGCTCTTAATACGTTCTTATTCCCTTGTGCTCCGGAAGTTTCTTTGGTTTCTTCTTTTTCAATGTTTATTTGTTTTTGAGAGAGAGAGAGTATGCGTGCACGGTAGTGGGGGCAGGACAGAGAATGTGGGGACAGAGGATCTGAAGCGGGCTCCTTTGCTGACAGCAGCTAGCCCCACGGTGGTGGTGGTGGGGGGAGCTCGAACTCATGACCTCAGGAGCCGTGAGATCGTGACCTCAGCCGAAGTTGGATGCTCAACCGACTGAGCCACCCAGGCGCCCCGTGCTCCAGAAGTTTCTATTCAGAGCCCACCCTCAGAACAATGTGTTCCCTCCTCAGCCCTGGTCGCCCGACCGGTCACGTGGGTTGAGGGATACCGTCAAAGCTTGCCTGCCGTAAGGCATTTCCTCTCCTGGCCTTTCCCAGCCCAAGTCCGTAACCCTGCTGAGAGCTCAGGGTACTCGCAGGGACAATCTGTGGAGCAGTGGAGGCCGTCATCCCGTTCATTCACTCATTCCTTCGCGCCACAGGTATTTGGCATCACCTGTCAGGAGTGCCGGGATCAGGAAACATCCTGGCTGACCCACGGTGGGCAGGGCTGGGGAAACCACAGTGGAGTTTGGGGAGAGCGGAGCCTGAGGACGCTGAGGACCGCGTCTCATCCTTCTCTTGTATCTCCAAAACCAGAACCAGAAAGGGGGAGCCACGTAAAATCAAGCGCTGAATTAATGAAACTCACGTTGATCGTCAGTTGCTGTTACTGTTAGCAAAAGAGATAACCGGTGTGTTATCTCCTGATGGAAGAACACGGCATGGCCTCCCCGTGGTGCAACCAGCAAGATCCGGCCTGGGAGGGGCGCCTGGGGGGCCCAGTCGGTTAAGCATCGAACCTCGGGCTCAGGTCAGGATCTCATGAGCCCCGCGTCGAGCTCTGTGCCGACAGCTAGGAGCCCGGATCCTGCTTCGGATTCTCTGTCTCCCTCGCTCTCTGCCCCTCCCCCACTCATGCTCTGCCTCTTTTCTCTCTCAAAAATAAACATGAAAAAACTGAAAAAAAGAGAGAGAGAGAGAGAGAGAGAGAGAGAGAGAGAGAGAGAGAGAGACCCAGGCTGGGAGACACCCTACAGGGCAAATGACCCAGTTCCTTCACAGGTGCGTGTGCTCGTACATGCACACACACAAACACACATACCCACTGAGTCAAGAAACCTATGGGGTAAAAGAAGCTTGACAGACGTATCCAGCGATTTCAACACATGAACTTATTTGAATCCTGATTCAGGGGCATCTGGGTGGCTCGGTCGATGAAGCGTCCAGCTTTGGCTCAGGTCATGATCTCACGGTTCATGGGTTCGAGCCCCGTATCAGGCTCTCTGCTCTCAGCCCAGAACATGCTCCATATCCTCTGTCCCCCTCTCTGCCCCTCCCCTGCTGGCTCTCTCTCTCTCTGTCTCAAAAATGGATAAACTTTAAAAAAAAAATACTTTGAATCCTGATCCAAACAAGCAAGATATTTTTAAAAAGACATTTGTCAGACAATTAGATATTTAAATACTGAGTATTTGCTGAAATTAAGAAAGTGTTAATTTTTTAGGTGTGATGATGGTATTAAGGTTTTATATTTTAAAAACTTCTATTTTATATTTATATATTCTATTTGTGTAATAAATACATTTATATATTTTATGTACTAGGTGCATTTAAATACATTTATATAAAATATTTTAATTTTTATTAAATATTTTATGTGTCTATATCTTCATGTTTTATATTTTTATATTATTTTTAAATATTTAAAATATTTTGTATTTTTATAATTTTAGTTTTTAAAACTTTTAATGTTTTATAAAATAGATGTTCAAGGTTTTTCATAAAATCTTTATATACTGGGGTGCCTGGGTGGCTCAGTCGTTTGAGTGTCCAACTTCAGCCCAGGTCATGATCTCACAGCTCATGAGTTCAGGCCCTGGGTCAGGCTCTATGCTGACAACAGAGCCCAGAGCCTGCTTCAGATCCTGTGTCTCCCTTTCTCTCTTCACCTCCCCTGCTTGCACTGTCTCTCTCTTTCTTTCTCTCTCGCAAAAATAAAATTAAAATTAAAAAAAAAACTTTATATATTAAGTTAAAAACATTTTTTAAATTATTTTTAAATTACATATTAAATTAAAAGACAAACCTTTGGGGCGCCTGGGTGGCGCAGTCGGTTAAGCATCCGACTTCAGCCAGGTCACGATCTCGCGGTCCGTGAGTTCGAGCCCCGCGTCAGGCTCTGGGCTGATGGCTCGGAGCCTGGAGCCTGTTTCCGATTCTGTGTCTCCCTCTCTCTCTGCCCCTCCCCCATTCGTGCTCTGTCTCTCTCTGTCCCAAAAATAAATAAAAAACGTTGAAAAAAAATTAAAAAAAAAAAAGGACAAACCTTTACTTTTTAGAGCTACACACTGAAACATTTACAGATGAAATAATATGAAGTCAAGGATTTTCTTTAAGAAAATATAAGGAGGGGCTCCTGGCTGGCTCAGCCGGTGAAGCATGCGACTCTTGATCTTGGGTAGTAAGTTCGAGCCCAGGTGGGTGTCAAGTTTACTTAAAAAGAAAATCCAGGGGCACCTGGGTGGCTCAGTCAGTCAAGCATCTGACTTTGGCTCAGGTCATGACCTCGCGGTATGTGGGTTCAAGCCCCGAGTTGGGCTCTGGGCTGGCAGCTCGGAGCCTGGAGCCTGCTTCGGATTCTGTCTCCCTCCCTCTGTTTCCCTCTCTCTCTGCCCCTCTGTGTCTCTCGCCCTCTCAAAAAAAAAAATAATAAAAAAAATATATATATACATACATATATGTATATATGTATGTATATATATATATATAAACATTAAAAAACACTAAAAAGAAAAAAAGAAAAAAAATCCAAGGAAGGGGAGTGCTTAGGAGCATAGATGAAACAGAACCAGCAGTGAGTGCGAGCTGAGCAATGGCTCCCGGGGGGCGGGGTTCATTAAACCAGCCAGTCTACTTGTATGTAGGCTAATTTTTTTTTTTAACGTTTATTTATTTTTGAGACAGAGAGAGACAGAGCATGAATGGGGGAGGGTCAGAGAGAGGGAGACACAGAATCTGAAACAGGCTCCAGGCTCTGAGCTGTCAGCACAGAGCCCGACGCGGGGCTCGAACTCACGGAGTGTGAGATCGTGACCTGAGCCGAAGTCGGCCGCTTAACCGACTGAGCCACCCAGGCGCCCCTAGGCTAATTTTTTGATACAAAAAAGTTAAAGGTTTTTTAAAAAGACAAAAGCACAAGGGCATTCAAGAGCTGTTTAAAGAGTTTTCCTGTTCAATTCTTTTTTTTTTTTAATTTTAAAAAATGTGTATTTTTGAGAGAGAGACAGTGTGAGTGAGGGAGGGGCAGAGAGAGCCACAGGATCCAAAGCAGGCTCCAGGCCCTGAGCGGTCAGCCCAGAGCCTGACGCGGGACTAGAACTCACCAGCAGTGACATCATGACCTGAGCCAAAGTCCGACACTTAACTGACTGAGCCACCCAGGTGCCCCTCCTGTTCAATTTTTTTACTGAAACTCCCCGCCCCGCCCCCTCCTGCCAGCATCCACAGCTGAGCGCGCGGTCATCTTCCCGCGGGGGCCACAAGGGGGCGCGTGTCCGCCCCCACCCCAGCAAGACCTGCTCAGGTAGAGCAGCAGGTAAAACTTGTATCCCGAGGCCAAGCCAGCCAGGTTCCTCTTATTGAGAGGATAGCTCTAGACTGAAAGGGCCGGGAGGGTGGTAAAGCCCCTCGTCGCTATCCTGCCACCAGCACACTCTGCCGCGTCCCTGTCCCTTCTCGGGCACCTTCCCGGTAGGATCCCTACTGTTAGAAGAGCAAGGAACATCCCCATCGAGGCAGGATGCCTGTGTTGGGCCAGACTCCAGTGGGAGGAGCCAGCTGCCCTCCACAGGTGCTTTCGAAGTTAGAAGTGGGGGCTTCCACAGATTCGCCAGAAGTCTCCTAAAATGCTAGAGAGTCCAGGCTCGGGAAGTAAGGTTGTGACACCCCTGGAGCTGAGAGCCCCCCCCTCCCCGCCCCCGCTTGTGGCCACACCCACAAGTCTCCTGGGCCTTCTGGAACAAGATGATGAGAAATGAAACAGAAAGCATCTGTCTCGAGGCTTAAAAGCAGTCATTTCAGCAATCTCAGCAGGTGGGGGAGACAGGTCAGGGGGGCTCTGTGCCCACCAGGAGAGAACACGGAGGACACAGGACACCCCCAGCTTGCCGGGCACGATGCTGAAGGCCGGTGCTGCGGGACTGGCAATGTACCAAAAGCAGGCCACGGCTCAAAGCCGGAAGCCCATCCTTCCCTGGATCAGGGTGGTTTGCCTACATTGTATCTGGCTGCCAGTAAAAAACTGAAACATAAAACCCACAGCCTCTTTTTCAAATCCAATGTCCAGAATTCAATAAAAACTACCAGGCGTGTGCTCCAAACAAATGAGCAAAACATCTGAATGAACATCTGACCAAAGAAGATAGACAGGTGGCAAGTGAGCCCATGAAAAGGTGCTCACCATCAGTAGTCCCTAAGAAACATAAACGCAAGTTAAAACGAGATACCACTACACGCCCACGGAAATGGCTACAATAAAAACACTGACTGTATCAAGTGTTGGTGAAGAGGGGGAACCAGAAAACTCGCCCTGCTCAATAATAACCACTTGGGAACACGGTTGGTAGTTGATTTAAAAATGAGACATTTGTCCCAGCCATTCCTCATTTAGGTATTTGCCCAAGAGAAATAAAAACATGTGTCTTTGAAGAGACTTATACAAGAATGTCCAGAGCAGTTTTTTTTTTTAAATAGCCCCGGGGCGGGCGCCTGGGTGGCTCAGTTGGTTAAGCCTCCGACTTCGGCTCAGGTCATGATCTCATGGTCTGTGGGTTCGATCTGGCATCGGGCTCTGTGCTGATGGCTCAGAGCCTGGAACCTGCTTCATGTTCTATGTCTCCCTCTCTCTCTGCCCCTCCCATACTCATGCTGTCTCTCTCTGTCTCTCAAAAATAAATAAACATTAAAAAAAATAGCCCCGGGGCACCCGGGTGGCTCAGTTGGTTAACTGTCTGACTCTTGGTTTCAGCTCAGGTCATGACCTCACAGTTTTGTGGGTTCGAGCCTTGCATCGGGCTCTGTGCTGATGGTGTGGAACCTGCTTGGGATTCTCTCTCTCCCTCTCTCTCTGTCACTCTCCTACTCACGCTGTCTCTGTCTCTCAAAATAAATCAACTTAAAAAAAAAAATAGCCCCAAACTGGAAACAACTCAAATGTTCACCAACAAGTGTATCTCCTGGAATAATACTCAACAATAAAAAGGAACAAGCTATTGATTCATACAACTACACAAATGAATCTCAAAATAATTGTGCTGAGTGATAGAAGCCAGACCAAAAAAGAGCACATAGCATATGATCTGATTTATATAAAATTCTAGAAAATGAAAACTGAGCTGTAAATGATAGTGGTTGCCTGGGGATGAGGGGAAGGATATAGAGAGGGATGCATCCCCTAAGGGACACAAGGAAATTTGGGGAAGTATATTAGTCAGGGTCCTCCAGAAAAACAGAACCAACACATTATGTTCACACGTGAATATATATTCAGCATAATTCGTTCCAGAAGCATGCTTGTAATCCAAAGCACTTGTATACCAAAGCGAATTTCCCCATAAGAAATAATGGAAACTCAGATGATTCGTTCTACAACCCAAAATATTCATATAAGAATGATTACAATACTATAACGTAATACAAAAGAATAAAGAAAATACAAAATATAAAGAACAATAAACAACCTGCACTTCCCTTTGAAAGCCTTCGTGGCTGGTGCGAGGGAAAGAGAGGAGGGCTATTGTGTAGGACAACTTTCACTATCACGAAAGGAATCACCACTCTCTATTGGCTCAATGGAACCTTTTTCTTCTCCTGCAACCTTATCCAATGGCCCCTGCTTTTGCCTTTTTTTGAGGATTTTGCGGAACCGTGACATCGCGTTGGCGATCACCCACAATCCCGCAGCCGGAGAGAGAGAAGAACCATTGGCTCAGTGGTGATCGTGTGACATCTGGCATCACGTAGTACTCGGATTGCAAGGCATCTCTTGTTTTTCAAGTTAAGATTGATTGGAAATGTTTGCTCGCCTTGGGGAACACTCGCAGAACGAGGTGGTCGAAATCCAAGGTTTTACTGTATTTTGTGTTCCCCACAGGAGGTGATAACTGCTACAGGGAGGAACAGCCCTGAAAGACAGTGGTGAAGGGAAAGCCTCCCAGTAGACACATTTTGGCCAACCTGGTTGTGTGCTTCGGAGGAAAGGTGGTTTGGGGTCAAGGTCGACACTGACTGATGACTCATGGGTCATAGATTCGCTGGCTGGTCGGGAACCTTGGATGGTCGAGATCGGAAGGCTTGTGAGCAGGAAGTCTGGGAAAGAGTTACATGGAGATGGAAGTCCCTGGATGAGCATCATGTGACGCTACAAGGTATGGAAGTTCCCAGCTGGGGCCCCCACTGCAGAGCACCCTAGCAGGGGTGCTTGCTAATCACGCTAATGAAGGGATCGCTCTTTCCCGAGAATGTCGGTCAGCCCGTTTCCCCTCTCACCGCGGTGCATCCTCAGTAAGTACCCTTCGCTAGGACCCACACGGGTATCATCTCCATTGAGGTCTCAGACTGCTAAATACTAGCAAAGACCAACCCCGAATCCCCGAGGTTGCACCTTCCGGAAGCTGGCGGACCAGGCCGGTAACTTGTATTGCTTCTTCATGGAGAAATTGGCTCTCTTAGGAGCGGGGTCCTGTTCCGGGTCCAGACTTGCTTTTCTTTACTGGCAGCGTGCCAGCACCACCACTTGGAGATTTTCAGAGTGCCCTGCTCATTGTCATGGTAACCCACACACCATCATCTCCAGCCAAGAAACTCGTTATACGGCAAAAGGCATGTGGCACTGAGTTCATGCCAATGGAATTCCCTGGCCTGTGCACGGCTCCCGAGATACTCAGTGGCACTTGTGTGGATGGACTGAGGAAATGGCCTGCTGAGGGCTCAGCTGGGGCACCAGCGGGAGTATGTGGGATCTCTCCGGGAGACACCACGTGTATTCGCTGCCGTTTCCCCCATGGCCAGAATACACAGGTTCTGTACTTTGACAGGCTGCCCCTGGAGTCTCGAACTGGTCTGGAGCGTAGCCTGGGGAGGAAATGTTGGAGATCTGAAGAGAAGATGTGACATAGTCACTTAGGTTTGTTAGATGTGCGCAAGGACCAGGGTGGAGGCCGAAGGGGCCCCCGTCGCTTTTTCACCAACCAGTCCTCTTACAGAACGTTCGCTTCCCCCGTAACGCTGGGCTCAGCGCTCGAGAAGGAAGGTTCCCCGGAGAGCACAGTCTTGATCCCGTTAAACCGGAAGGTCAGGTCGGTGACTTGTGGGCTTCTTGACCGAGCCCGAGCCCGCATCGAATGCGAATGGGGTTCGCTGTACTGGCCGGGATAAGGAGGACTCTCCCTGCACCAGAGGACTCGCCAGAGCACGGCAGGGTCTCCCCGTCCAAAAACCGGCCAATAGGAAACCGCGGTGACTCAGGGAGGACAGGACAGCTAAGAATTTGGATTCCGTGGGAATGAAGATTTGCACCACCCTGAGAAGTGAAACCCAGAGGGCCGCAGTGCTGCCAAGAGGTAAGGAAGTCGGTGCAGGCAGCGAGAGGAGGGAGCCAAGAGTGCCACCCCAGGTCTGGAACCAGCAGCAAGTGGGCTCTTCCCCCCCCTTTCCCTGTTGCCTTCCGTGAAGAACAATGTTGGCCACTAACGCCGTCGTTTGGATTCGCGTTGCAAGTATGACGCAGCTGACACTACCCACTGCAGTCGATGCCTGATGGGACTTGGTGTTTCCCCAGGGTGGGGGGCCACAGGATCCAGTCGTCGAAATAAAGGACAAGGACTCTCTCTGCCCCTCCGGATTCATTTTCCATCCTTTTCTCGCCTGCTGGTGTCCAGGAGGCTGACCGCTATAGAATCCACTCTCCAGACCCTCTCATCTTCTGGCCTCCAGTTGGATTTGACCAATGGAGTCATGAGCAGGAGATCATAGGTTTGGAGGAAACAGATCAGGGGATTTGTCACGGTTTTGACAGTGCTCGCTTGGCCCTGAAGCCCCGGGGCGGGCAGACCCTCTTCCACAGCCCTGACCCCCACATGGTAATGGGAGCATCATCCCTTTCTTGTCCCCTTGGTCCCCCTTTGGTGCTTGTATCTAGGTGTCTTATTATCATTATTTTCCCTTAGCCCTGCCTGTGTCTCATAAAGAGGCCCTTCATTAACTTTCTTCAATTAAACCTTCTTTCTGTGCCATATACTTCCTGCTGGTGGCCTCACTGATCCTGGGACCTTTAAGTAATTCACCTTCACTGAAGCATAAAGTTCGTGGTGGGAGGAAATGGTGAGAAATGAAGTTGTACAGGGAGGGTGGCCAATTATGAGAAGCTTTGTGCACTGGGATCGTGTAAGCTTCACGAGGCATTGAGCAAACTATCTAACCCCTTTGTGCCTCTGTTTCACCGCCTATAAAATAAGGGCAGTGACAGGATGTATCTTTCGGGTGACCATGAAACATTGAAAACAGTGCCTGGCACAGAAAGTGATCAACAGCATCAGGGACAGTGATGCACTGCAGGGCTTTAAGCAAGGAAGTGACCGGGTCAGATGTGGTGATCCAAAAAGCTCTTCTGGGGGAAATGTGGAGAAGACATGGGGTTTGTAAGTGACCAGGTGGAGTGGAGCAAGACTGGAGGCAAGAACACCAGTAACGAGACTACTGCAATGGTCTTAGCAAAATGCATACATACAGAATAAAATTGAGATGTACCATCCAAAAAAGAGACCAGGAAAGAAAAAGATACAGAATACAAGAAATGGGACTGCTGGCACAATATCCGGGACCTTTAGGTAGTTCAGTTTTGCGAAAGCATAACGTGCAAGGTGAGGGTGATGGTAGAGCTGTACCCCCTCCCGCTCCAGACCTACAGCGACTGAGTTCAAGAGAGAATCCTCCTAGCTTGCTGTCACTCTCTCCAGCACCCCTGAAGTCTTCATTCTTGATACCTTGAATGTCCACATAGAGGAAACTTCCAGCACCCTGGCCTCCGTTTCTTAAGCCTCTCCTCCTCCAGTGACTCTGTCCTCTATCCTCTGCCTCAGCCACTCATTTTCATAGTCTTACCCTAGACCTCATTGTTACCAATAACTGCAGCCTTCCCATGCCTCCGTCACCATCCGTATCTTCTTCTCAGCTCACTCCTCTGAAGTCTTCTCCCCCGAACTCAACATTAGCTGATGAGCGTGCCCCCTACGTCACCGAGGAAATAGCAGCAGTGAGCAGAGAGCTCCCGTAGGCCCCCGCAACTGCCAGCGTCTGGGCCTCTATGCTCCTTCTCCCCTTCCGTTCTCTGCCGGCTCATCCCAGAGACCCCGATTTAATGTGCTGAGCGCGGCCTAGGTCTGGGGACCTTGAAACGCTCCCCGGATGATTTTATTTTATTTTATTTTATTTTATTTTATTTTATTTATTTTTTTCAACTTTTTTTGGGGGGGGGGACAGAGAGAGACAGAGCATGAACGGGGGAGGGGCAGAGAGAGAGGGAGACACAGAATCGGAAACAGGCTCCAGGCTCCGAGCCATCAGCCCAGAGCCCGACGCGGGGCTCGAACTCACGGACCCCGAGATCGTGACCTGAGCTGAAGTCGGACGCTTAACCGACTGCACCACCCAGGCGCCCGTCCCCGGATGATTTTAATGTACATCCCACGTTGAAAACTGCTACTGAGGATGCGTGGCCTGTGCTCTCCCCCTTGAGCTGCTCAAGGAGATTGCTCCAGGAGTCTTTCTCTCCCTCCGAGCATCGCGTTGGTTCACCCCCCCCCCCCCCCCCCGCTCTTTCCTCCCAGCTACAAACATGCTGCTGATTCCTCTAATTTAGGGAAAAACTTCTCCACCCCCCTTCTTCCTCCAATTACTGCCCCACTTTTCTACTCCCCTTCGTGACGCATTTCTCTAAAGGGTTGTCTGTATTTGTGTCTGTAATTCCTTTTCTCCCATTGGCTCTCCAGGCTTTGCCCTGCGGGCCCACCAAAGCTCTTGTCGTCAAGTTCGCCAATGGCTGCTTCACTGCTGTGGCCTGTGGCCGATTCCCAGGCTTCCACTTGAGAGGTCATCCACGATATCCGACCCAACTGATCACTCCTTTCGCCCTAGAATGCTTCCTTGACTCGGCTTCCAGGACACAACATGCTTCCTGCTTTCCTCCTAATTCATGATGAATGCATCTCAGCATCCTTCCGGCTCACCCCTCATGGGGGTTGCTCGGCATGGCAGCCACATGGGTCCATCCTGTCTGTCCTTGCTCAAATCCTCCAGCGGTTTCCCATCTCATTCAGAGTAGGACACAAAGTCCTCAAAATAGCCCACAAGGCCCTGCATGCCTCACCGCCCCCCCCCCCCCCCATACACACAGATGCCAGGACCTCCGGGACCTCGGCACCCTCCAGCTACATTGCAGCCTCCTCTAACACACCAGACCCGTAAATCCAGGGACTGTGCCCTTGGTGTCCCCCTCCCTTCAAGGCAAACTTCCAATCTCCCTTCTCTGCTGGGTTTTTTTTTAATTAACCTTTTTTTTTTTTTTTTTTTTTAAAGTAAGCCGTACGCCCAATGTGGGGCTCGAACTCACAACCCCAAGGTCAAGAGTCGCATGCTCTCCCAAGTGAGTCAGCCAGGCGCCCCTGAACTTTTTATTTTGGGATAATTGTACATTCACATGAAGTTGTAAGCAATAAGGCAGAGAGAGGCCTTGTGTATTCCTCCTCCGGTTTTCGCCGATGGTAACATCTTGCACCACAGGTACAATGTGACCACGAGGCTATCACTGTGGTAGGGTTGTATTCATTGCCGGTGGCTACTGTAACAATTATCACCAACTGGGTGACTTAAAACAATAGCGATTTGTTCTCCCACAGTTCCGGAGGCCAGAACTTCTAAATCGAGGTTTAGGCAGCGCCCTACTCCCTCCAGAGGCTCTAGGGGAGAATCCGTCCCTTGCTTTGTCCAGCTTCTGGTGGCTGCTCTGCCCCATCTGTCTCTCTCCAGCTTCACACCACTTTCTCCTGTGTGTGCGCGCAGTCTCCTGCCTCCCTCTTATAAGGTCACTTGTGAGGGCGTTTAGGGCTCACAGGATAATCCAGGATAATCTCCCCATCTCAAGATCCTTAATCTAATTACCTCCGCAAAGGTCTTTTCTCCTAATAAGGTAACACTGACAAGTTCTGAGCGTTAGGGTATGGACATGTCTGGGAGCTGCCATCAGCCTAGCCCGACCGTGCAGATGTGGAACATTCCTGGCATCTCAGAACTCCTCAAATTGCCTTTTGAGTGTTGAATTTTGTCAAATGCTTTTTCTTTCCTTTTTTTTTTTTTCATTTTTCAAAAATGTTTATTAATGTATTTTGAGAGAGAGAGAGAGAGCCAGCGTGTGCATGAGCAGGGAGGAGCAGAGAGAGAGAGAGAGAGAGAAAATCCCAAGCAGGCTCCCCATGTCAGCACAGATCCCAACTCGGGGCTCGATCTCGTGAACCATGAGATCATGACTTGAGCCAAAATCCGGAGTCGGACACTTAACCAACTGAACCACCCAGGCGCCCCATTAAAACCTTTTTCTGCATCAATTGATGTGATTTTGTGATTTTTTTTTCTTCTTTAGCTTGTTAATAGGGCAGATTACATTGATTGATCTCTGAATATTGAACCGGCCCCAGAGGCCTGGGATGAACATCCCACGTACTTTTCTTCCCCGTGGTCCATTTCTGCCATTTGAAGGTGAACTCTAAATGGGGACAAACCTTCTGGCTCCTTCTGTTCATTGCGGTCTCCCGGTACCTGAACAATGCCAGGCATGGGGTAAGCACTCAGTACCTGTTCGGTGAGCGAATAAAAGAGCAGTAGCGAGGTGAAGGCAATTCCCCAGATTATATTCAGAGGAGATCCCAGGATAACAGCTGCAGGCAACCGGCCCAGACCCAAATAGGTCGGAAGGCTCCAGAAGAGCCTGTTGAATCTGATGCCCTGAGAGGGCATTTAGATAGTCAGCAGAGACTTGGGCTGGGTTTATAAGTACACAGAAAGCTAAGGAAACAAACAAACAAGAATTCTTTTTAAAAATTTTTTTTCAACGTTTTTTATTTATTTTTGGGACAGAGAGAGACAGAGCATGAATGGGGGAGGGGCAGAGAGAGAGGGAGACACGGAATCGGAAACAGGCTCCAGGCTCTGAGCCATCAGCCCAGAGCCCGACGCGGGGCTCGAACTCACGGACCGCGAGATCGTGACCTGGCTGAAGTCGGACGCTTAACCGACTGCGCCACCCAGGCGCCCCAAGAATTCTTTTTTAAAGAGATCGTTATTACCGTCGTATATCCATACCGTGGAATACTATTCCTAACAGCAGTAAGCCATCAGGCCACAAGAAGAAGATATGAATGGGGGAACCTTAAGTGCATATTACTCTGTGAAAGAAGCCAGTCTGAAAAGGCTACATATTGTAGCCAGCAACTGTCCTTGCTGGCACCTACCGGCCCCGGGACTCAGCCCAGACTCCCGGGCAAGCTTGTCCCTTTGCGGCCTTGTCTTTCAGCTCATCGGGGCTCCGGGTCAGTCCACGGGCATGCCTTGCACACTCACCCTGCCAGGCTGGGGCTCCGGCTACTCCTTGCCTGGCGGGCCCTCTTCTCCCTTGCTGTTCACAGGTAAACGACTGGATGGCCCGGCCAAACTCCACCCCCTGGCTGCCTTCTCCGTGAAATGTCCACGCACCCTCCGGTTTCCGCCCTACGTCCCCAGAGCCGCCTGCAGGGGCAGGAAGAAGCCCGAAGGACATGTGTTCGAATCCCAGCTCAGACATGTCTCTTGACCTCCCTAAACTCCGCGTCATATCATATGTAAATCTGAATAATTGTTTCCTTCTTGCAGGGCTGCTGGAAACTCAAACACCCTATGTAGTTTTAAGAGGGAGGGGCGCCAGCAGGGGGAGAGAGGCAGAGGGAGAGGGAAAGAGAATCTTAAGCAGGTTCCACGCTGCTCGTTGTGCAGCCCATCCCACAGCCCTGGGGTCATGACCTGAGCCGAAGTCCGGCGCCCAACCGACTGAGCCACCCAGGCGTCCCCAGGCACCCCTATTTTTATTCTTATTTATCTATTTGTAATTGAGGTATAACCGACAATAACATTATCTTAGTTTCATTGTATAATGTAATGATCGGGTAAGGATCGCCATGATGAGTGTAGTTAACGCTGATCACCTCACATCC